CACGGCAGCTGGTCCTGGCTGGGAACAGCCAGACAGACACTGCTGCTTGGAGCATCCACGGCTGGAAAAAACAGCAGGTCTTTGCAGATAAAGCACAAGAGCAGGGGGACAAAGACATGAAGGACACTGGTTGAAGGAGTCCTGGTGATTCTGCATACAAATCAAGGGAAGTGAGAGTTAGGTGAGGGTCAGAGACATGGCCTGGATCTGGCATGGAAGCCTGCTCAGGAGGGACCTGCATTTCCATGGAGCAGAGACTCCCCCTGAGGCCATGTACAGGAAACTGGACCTACATTGGATCTGTCAAGATAAAGCTTTCTAGATGGACTCGTGGTAATTAAGGAAGTCATTGTACCTAGTCTCTAGTTAACTCACTGACCTTGCTGAACTCATGTAGCCAGAATATGGCTGGGAGACATGATGTAAATAATTACCAGCTGACCCTGCAGAGAGGCAAGAGTCCACAGCAAGTTTGCAGCTCCTATGTCCAAACATTTTTTCATGGAGATTTCTGCACAGCAGTAAGTCCCCTTTCCTAGCCCCCAAACTGACTAGGAGCAGCCATCTGAAAGGAATGGTACTGATCACCACAAGATTCTGACAGGTGCTTGTATCTTACCAGGAAGGTCCACAGGGCACCTGAGCAGAGTCTCTTCATGAAGAACCTTTTGCCCAGCAGCATCTATTCCTTCAAGCCCAACCAGTATAAGGTAATTGTGATCCTAGGGAAAAGCCACACCAGCCAGGACAGCCAGAGCAGCAGTAGTTACAGTCCCAGGAGAATCCCTAAGGCCACTCACCCACTCAAAGACATAACAGCCTGCATAGGAGACTGATATTTTCCTGGAGCCTTCTGGAGTCCCAGATACCAAAAGCCCACAGCCAGAGTCATTCTGCAGAGCATGTGCCTTCCCTTCAGTATCTAGGGAAAGGGGACACAGCAGCAGGGGCTTCAGAGTCCCACATTGCAGATTAGACCCACTACAAGCCTACCTTTCTGTAGGAAACTGGGACCTAGACAATATTAGGGTCTAGAACAGTAGTGAGAGAATCCAGCAGCCAAGACATCTAGATCCAGGCACAGCACTTCACCAAGTCCTTGACTGCTGTGTCATATAAACAGCCCCCAGATTATGCAAGATGCACAGAACTTCAGTGAAGTTCAACAGCACTGCACATCAAAACCTGTTCCTTTCCTCTCCTTCCATGCACCTCTGCATTTGGGCAAAGATATGGCTAAAAATGCCTCTTGATATTGCCTCACCCCACGTAGTCAGTACAAATGAAGCATTCCCTTCCCAGCCTGGTGGTAAGGTGACCTGTAAGCTTTTCTGGCCACAAGTCAGCAGGGTAGGATCAGAAAAAACACTGATAGGAGCCCCCAAAGCCAAAGCCAGGGGGCCAAGAAATACCCAGAAGAGCATAACTCCTGATGCAGCCCAAGACCACCCTACCACACCCATCCTGCTCTCTTGCTAGGCTCTTAGCCTAGTCCTTTTAAATTGTGAAGCCAGCTGGGACCAGAAATCCCCGAAGTGCCCAGGTGGACCCAGCCAGCAGTTTAACACCTTCCATTGCCCTCATCTGAACTCAGCAGAGTCTGCTGGTGCTCTTTGAAGAAAACCAAAGGGCAAGAGTTGAACTAAGGTCAAGAGACAGGTCTGTATTCATACTGTAGATCCCCAGGAGGGTCTTCAAAGCTTCTTTCCTACCCTTCTTCCCACAGCTGGGACACATAGGAAATCTGGTTGCTTCTCCCCATGCACCCTATTGCTGCTCTAATTGCTCAATACATGGCATGAGTGCAAGAAACAGTGACAATGCTCTTTTATTCTTTTAAAGATTATACGGGTTCAAATGCCAGACATAGGGTGCTGACACAAAGGCACAGAAAGAGCCCTCCACATAAAATCTGTGAGAAATCATGGAGCTCAGAAGGCCTTGCACACTTAAACAGTGGTGATTCCCCATAAGCACTCTTGGCTGTGGACTTACAGCCCTGTTTGCAGTGCGTTTGTGTGGGGATAGTGGCAGGACTGGTTCAGACCTGGCTGCTAAGTGGCAGGATGCTCTCTGGGATCCCTACCCCCAAAAAGTGGCAGGTGGCCCCTGAGATGGGCTTGAAACACAGGCAAGGGGAGCTTTTGTGACCCCAGAGAAAACTCTGCCCGCCAGCAGCCATTGCCTGCCTGTAAGTGCAAGGTGTCATGGAGAGTCTCCTCCCCAGCCACACATCAGGCAGCCACACCAAGCGAATGCCTCATAGTCCATCTTTCCATGCATGTTTCTGCATTCATACCATGAAACTGTGAATGTCTTTACATTTCTGCCTTTTAGCAGATCCTCCAGCTCCTGGATGTCTGCACAGCATCACAGTACCCTGGCCCCAGCCAGCCCTCACCACAGGCATGGTGGGTGGGCAGCAGCTGAGTCTGAGGGAGGCATTTCCTTTGCCCTTCCACCTCAGCCCACAGCCCATCTTTGCTGCACAGCTGTGCAAGATGCCATGATCCCAGCTGGTCAAGAAGGTCACTGTGCCTAACTCTGCTAATTTCATGCACCAGCCAGGATGGCTGCTCCACAAAGTGTAAGACCTTGCCAGCAGCTGTGCACAACAGGAGATGGAGGCAATGGATCTTGGCAGCTTGCCTGTGTAGCTGAGGCTTGAGCAGCCCTCATGAACCAACTGTGCTCCCTACAGTGCCTGCCAGGGCACCAGGCAGCAACTGAGGAGAGACACCAGGGAAAACATTTGGACTTTGGCAAGGAGGGAGGCTTCATCTCTTTAGAAGCCTGTATGAACTGTGTTTGCCCCAATCACATCATCACTGAATGACAGCCAAGTGCTTCTTTTGGCTGCATTACCTGCTGATAACTGGGTAAAAATCAGTAAAGTACTTTGGAGCTATAGGGAAGTACTTTTATTATACATTAACCCATCAATACTTCTGCTAATAAAAAAAAAATATCTACATGGACTTGAAGAATAATTCTACATGAAAGAACCCCAGAACTGCTGTAGATCTGCCAAGGAGTACCTGTGCTGAGACCAGTTTCAGGCAACTGCCCTTTCCTAGCTCCTACACAGACACCAAATAGCTGTGTTTGATCATGTAGGGATGGAAGGCTCTTCAGAGGAGCCTGAACTTCAGGGAAATTAAATGCTTTGCTTGAAAGAAGTTGTTATGGAAAATGGAAAATGGAAAGCAGCCTAGCTGAAATGAAACAAGCAGGTTTCTCTTCCTCAGAAATCTTCCTCACCCATTTGATCATTCTCATGCATTCCAGTGACCCAGTTGTAATCACCAGTTTAGACAGAAGCCAAGACCACCACAGACAGGAAGGACATGCAGAGGATGAAGCTAGGTGAAGAAAACCTCTCCATGGACCACTAGTCTGATCAATGAGTGCCATGCAAAACAGGGAACTTCATAGACAAGGTGGTAAGGTCATGAACACTGCTAGCTGGCAGGTACCTCATGTCAAAGTGCAAACTCTCATGAACTTTACATTCATTAGATGAAAGTCCATGAACCTACATGAACTTCCATAAACTGCCCCGGCAGCATCTGAGCTGATGCAGGAATTCTGCCCAGCAACTAGCCAAAAGTTGTTGGCACTTTAGTTTTTCCACCAAAGCTCTCAAAGAAGTAAAATAACATTTAAAATTAACAACTAGAAAATTGTTGCACCCATCCAAGAGAACAAGGATGACTTAGAACTCCCTTCTGTAGAGAAGGTACAAAAACTTTTGCAAGGGATGGAGATCTTCACTAGCTCCTCTGAGTGGGAGGGAAACTCACCTTAACACGCTGCTGTGCAGTAAACACAGTATGCCCCAACGAAGCACTCAATTCAGCCAGGCCTCTTGCTAATTCCCACCAAGTCCCACATCCCCTATCCTTGCAACACCTTCTAATCAGTTTTGCCTGCAAATGTGTCACAGTTCAGGAGAGACAGAGGGTTAAGGTCAGACTGAACAAGATGAGCACAGCCCTGAGGGTTTTCTACCCACCCCTGCCATTGTTCTTGGGACGCTGCTGGTACGCAGGCCATGGGCAATCTTGGGCAGGAAGCCTCCAGCTCTTTTTTAAGCCCTTGGAACACAGCTGACATGCTCTGCTGTCTCCCAGAGCACCTAGGGAACTTCCAGAGCACTAGTTCCTCATAGTGGAGTAAGACATCAAGAAAACAAGAACCTGTGCATGCCAGCTTCCAGCTGTAGGTTGGGTGAGCTGCTTTGGTAAGTGCAAGGAGAAGTTGCAGGTTGCAATGGCCTATACCCAGCCTCAGACAAGTACATCTCTGTCCCAATTTGGGAAGCCATTTCCCAGGGACTCTCTCAAGTTCTGGGTTTCTCTCTTGTCTCTACTTTTCTCTTTTTTTCCTCTAGGAGCCCTTGAGGAGGTCAGAGTCTCAAGGTTTTGTCCCCTTTTCTTACATCTTCATTTAATCTCACCCAGCAAGTCCTTTCTTGTCTGTTGTCATGTCTGGAGACCTTTCTAGCCTTGCTGGATAGATATGCTATACTCTCCTCTCTTGTGAGGCCAGACACCCCTAGGGAGAGAGACTGGGGCTATTGCTGAGCAATTGCTGAGGAAAACACAGTGGCTTGTCCTTTAGCAAATAACATGCAGTATGAAGTTTACTAATAACATCAGGAAGATTTCAGAAACAATGAAGGATGGCTCACAGCACTGACAGCTTGCACAATCAATACGGAAGAACAGAAACCCCAAATGTCACTGAAGTTCATGGAAGTTCATGTTCTTGTGACAGTGAATATCTGTGAGTGCCTCAGAAGGACATTGTCCCCCTACCATGATTTCTTTAACAATTAAGTCTAGATAAAAGAAAACAAGTTTTGTGAGCACATTACAGATTTCCTAATCTCTGTTGGCTTCTGCAGTTGAGATAAGGTGTGACTCCAAAGAATAATTAATACCAATAAAAGTCTTAGTTTCATAACACAGGGCAATCTAACAAATGATTGACTAGTAAACATTGACTGACTCAGCCATGTGACCCAAAACCTGCTCTTGAACTAACATAGACCTTTGGGATATAAACTCAGATTCTGACAGCCAGAGTCACTCCCTCCTGAGCCACAGACAAAAATGGAGCTCCTGGGAGGAGCCACTGTTGTCCTCCTGGTTTGCATTGCCTGCCTGCTCTCCTTTGCAGCATGGAAAGGAAGGTCTGGGAAGGGGAAGATGCCTCCAGGACCAGCTCCCCTTCCCATTCTAGGCAACCTGCTGCAGGTGAAACCAAGTAACTTGGCCAAAACCCTCCAGAAGGTAAGGCCACTTCTTCTTCTGTCATTCTGCTTTGGGTGAGAAATATGTGGGACTTGTGTGTGGGGTCAGCCTGTGGCTATAGCTCAATGACTTGCAATTCCAGAGGAGCAGAAAAGTCATGGGGTTTGCAGCTGCTTCCCCTCATTGCTGTTGCCATGTTGTTTAGGGCCTGATAGGTGGGACCCATCTGCACAGCCACATTTATCATGAGAGACCCAAATCTTGATGTTACCAATGTGTGAGGCTAACTGCCTGCTGTGGGAGGCAGCAGCAAGGAGATTTCCCCACTCTTCCTCACTATTTGCTCCATGGCCATGTTCTCTCTTGCATTTTTACAGCTCAGTGAAGAGTATGGACCCGTGTTCACAGTGCACCTGGGCTCTGACCCAGTGGTGGTGCTGCATGGATACGATGTGGTGAAAGAAGCCTTGGTCGATCGCGCAGATGAGTTTGCTTCCAGGGGACACATGCCAATTGGAGACAGGGCTAACAATGGATTAGGTATGTTTGCTGGCTGAGCTTCTGAAGGAGAAGGGAAGGGCTGAGCATGTGATCAGCAGATTAGAGCTGGAGTGTACCTTGCATGAGGGAAAACTGCATGGGGTGGGTGCAATCCACCTGGAGAGGGGAAGCCAGAGAAGGTTACTGCCACTCAGAGGGTGGGAGGTGGCAGAGAAGGGGAGCCAGATTGCTCTCAAAGATGGGCAGGGAAATGGCAAGGGGCAGCAACCCACAGCTGCAGTAAGGAAAATTGTGTATGGGCGAGTATGAATTATTCACAAGGATGTTGGGCATGCAGTGGAGAAGACCAAAAGCAGGCAGTTGGACTACAGAACCTCCAAACCACAGTACGCTGCGACGCTGCCATGTCAGTGCTCTCCAGGGACAGGATTCACTGTCACCATGAGCCACTGTTCATCTCACAGCCAGCATGCCCAAGACATGTCTTTCCTCTTCTTTCTTCTTCTGCAGGGATTATTTTTAGCAACAATGAGCTATGGTTACAAGTCCGGCGGTTTTCTCTCACCACTCTGCGGAACTTTGGAATGGGGAAGAGGAGCATTGAAGAGAGGATACAGGAGGAATCTGACTACTTGCTTGAAGAGATCAACAAAACAAAGGGTACAATCAATTTTTAATATATCTTATGTTTGAAAAAATAGGCTCTATTAAGGGAGCTCACTTCTTTAGCATGGAATGAAGTTCCTATGGATTTGGTCCATGCACCAGCTACTCCTCTTTATGAAGCTGAAATAATTTTGTGATCATGTCCTGTTCTGTTTGGAGGACCCTTCTGTGTCACTCAGAGACTGATCTGATATTTCCACTAACAACCGGAGTTCAGATTACCCACAGTAGCCATAAGTAGACAAACAACATTTCATGGGGGTTTTTTTAATAGTCTGTAATGTTTCTGAAATCACAGGAAAAGCTTTTGACCCAACCTTCATGCTGAGCTGTTCTGTCTCCAATGTCATATGCTCCATTGTCTTTGGGAAACGATATGATTATAAAGACAAGAAGTTCCTGGCTCTGATGGACAACATGAACAACATCTTTGAGATGATGAACTCCCGCTGGGGACAGGTACGTTCAGTAGGCATTTCACAGTGGCAACATTCTCCCAGGGGAGTAGGAGGCCTCCTTCCTAATGAAGTTCCATTTCAGTCTTCTAAGTAGGACCCCATCAATGCTCTGCTGCACTGAAGGCATTTCATTCAAGAGCAAGAAACTCCCTCACCAAAGCTGGAATTGGCTTTGCCAGCGACGTGCAATAGTTCCCAATAGCCCTGGACAACTTTCTTCTCCACTTCTAAAGTTACTACTACTACTACTATGCAAGTCCTGTCACACTGCTCAGCCTCATAGTCCTTCTGCTTGGCTCAGCTGACAGGGTTGTGGCTTTTCTGGGCATTTGGTTAGTATCAAAGGATGGGGCAAATGTCATACTAGGGACCTTCCTGTTTCTTTCCTTCCAGCTCTACCAGATGTTCTCAAATATCATGGATTACCTGCCTGGCCCACACAACAATATATTTGGAGAATTTGATGCTCTAAAAGCCTTTGTAGCAGAGGAGGTAAAGTTGCACCAAGCCTCCCTGGATCCCAACTCCCCTCAGGATTTCATCGATTGTTTCCTCAGCAAAATGCAGGAGGTAAGGAGAAGATGGCCCCAGCTTGTCCCCAAACACACCTATGCTGAGTCCTTCCCTCTCATAAGTAACACAGACATGGGGATGATCCCTTCCAAGTCAGCTGTGCAATAGGAAAACAGCAACAATACCCCAGATACTGCCTCTGTTAGAGCTTATAGTTCTGGGTCTGCGTGCTCACCAGCCACCACTACTGTTTGGAGAGGGAGAGCTTCCTCTGCTTTCACCAAAACACAGGGACCTTTTCAGTCTGGTCTTGCAATTCTTTCACTGGAAAGCATTAGACACAGCAAGCCAGCAGTAGAGTGCCATTCAGTGCACAGCTTAAAAGGAGGCTAGTATTGAGTTTACTGCTAAAGGCTGCATTGCAATGCTCCAGATGGCTGCTGCCCCTTACAGAGAAATGCCACAGCTCTAGGAGAAAAGGAAGGTCTGGGATGATATGTGAAAGGGCCACTTTCTCTCATCTCAGCCAGAGGAAAAATAAAGCCTTTTCCTTAGGAGAAAGATCGTCCCAATTCCAGTTTCCACATGAAGAACCTTATAACAAGTGCTTTCGACTTGTTCATTGCTGGAACTGAGACAACAAGCACCACTGTACGATATGGGCTTCTGCTTCTTCTCAAATATCCAAAGATACAAGGTACCAGTTTGTGACCTCTTCCTCTCTAGCTGTTCCCCTGGGCTGGGCACATGACTAACACCACATCCTCCTCCCAGATTTTCCCTTCATATCTCTTCTCTCTCTCTCTCTTTTTCTCTCTGGGACCTGACTGTGTCCACATCTTTATTTAGCCAAATCAATACAAGTTTCTTTGCATGGGCAGAAGTGTTAGCTGTGTTCCAGTCAACATCAAAATCAACTTAATGCTCCTGCCATCTGAGATTTGTTACTAGTTTACAGCAACCTATTTAGATGGGTTTGGTTTTATTTACCCATTTGATGATTTG